TGATTTTTTACATGGCACCCCTGCTCTCAACAGACGGCACCCCGGTTGGGAAACACTGGGTTAAGGGGTCTAAAAATCTAAATCTCTCATTGATAAAATGATACAAATGCATTGATATGAATATCTTAATGATATAAAAGATATGTAAATATTTTTTTATGTTTTTTTAGCAAAAAATACGTAGCGATTTGTACGTTTTAAACGTTGAAATATGTTTAAATTGTACATTTTAGCATCAATTGTAAATTTATTGTATTAATACCTACGTATAAACATGAGATCAGGCTGATATATTCTATCTATCTATCTATCTATCTATCTGTCTCTATATATATATATATATATATATATATATATTACAACAGCACATAACAAAATGACTAACCTAAATAAATAATACTAAGATAACAGTAAAGAAGATTCTAAAGATGAATCTGTCTTTCTCTCTGCATCTTTTCCTCTCTATCTTTTGTTCTCTCTTAGATTAACCTACAGAGGAGGATGCGGGTCACAGGAGTGATAACCCAAGGAGCCAAGCGTATCGGGAGCCCAGAATATGTTAAGTCGTACAAAGTGGCCTACAGCGATGACGGAAAGACCTGGAGGACATACAAAGTCAAGGGCACAGATGAAGATATAGTGAGACATTTTTTTAATTAGCGAAAAAGAGCCACATCAGTCACTCAGCGTGTGCTTTTGCTTCCCTCTCTGCCGTATGCATTTTCAGGCTGGATTTTGGATTAGAGCTGTTGGGGTTTCAGATGAAACCATCACCTAAGATGCTGTCTTTTTACTTTTAGAGAGTGTCCAGATTTCCTCTAATGACTTTGAGTAGTTGCTATTTTGATCATTTAAGATAATGTTTTATTATTATGAAAATGTATTAATAGTAATATTTAGTAATTACATTATTGTTCGAAACAACAGTGATAATGTCATCTAAATATTTGCATATCAAGTTGTGTTCAGTATTCTCTTTTAAATCTATTTTGCATACGTAATTATGATTGGTTCTATTTTTTATTTAATTTCATGTGTTCAGAACCTAAGGTTACTTAAAACTTAAAACATTTCTACATTTTGCTATCTTGCCAGCACTGATATTTCCTTTGAGAAATGCAAACCTAGTCCAGTTTAATCTAGTTTTGACCTTTTTGACTTCAAACATTTTTCTCAAATGATTTTGATTTGCTGTTAGTAAATACTCTTTTGATTAAAATCAAGTATAATAAATTGGAGTGAGTGTGATGGAGCAGCGTTGACGTTCTCTGTGCTCTCTTGTCTTGTGAAATCTCCCCACTTTCTCCCTCCAGATCTTCCGTGGGAATATTGATAACAACACTCCATTTGCCAACTCCTTCACCCCTCCTATCGAGGCTCAGTATGTGAGGATCTACCCGCAGGTGTGCAGGAGACACTGCACTCTTCGCATGGAGCTCCTGGGTTGTGAGCTCACGGGTGAGTCACCTCAATAGACAGCATACATCATTCTGAGATAATGTCCAAAGGGGACTTTAGAAGTGTGTTATACCTCTGAAACATTGTCCAGTCTGTCAATACAGCACAACACACATGCTTGAAGCCAGTTCTTTTTTATCCTAGCAAATTCAGGGGATTTATTTTATACAGCTCAACAATAAGGATTTTTTTTCCCTTCTTCTTCTTCTGTTGGTCAGATTGTGCCAGTAGTTCGAATTTGTTCTTGCCCTGCCAATGTTTTCACTGTCCCACAACAAAATGATCAATTATTTATGCTTTTTGAAATCTGACAAATATTTTATACCAAAAATTGACAAATGATTTATTAGGTTGTTATTGCATTTTTTATTAAAATAATAGGTGGAAATCCTACAGCTGTAATATAACTTCATGACAGCTATAAATTCATACATGCACTTTTGCTTGAAAATGATGGCATGCTGTTTCTACCAAGACTATCACAAGTCACACAATTCCAACAAAACCTCAGCTTCAACTACCTTGAATTTGATTGATATATTTAAATTTGAAGACATATATAAATGTTAAGAACATGACAGCAAATCTTTATGTTAATAGGCATAAAAACACATATCCATGTTTAATACAAACATTAGATGTAAGAACTCAGTCCTGGCCTAATAGGGCAAGTTAAAGTTTCCTTAAATAGCTTAAATCTCCTTCACATTGGCCATCCTTATTGTTAAACCATGAAGAAGCATTTACGTTTATATTATAATTAATTTATATTACATCCAAGCTTACCATATGATGTATTTATATATTTAATCATTATTCTTGCTTCAGTCTGTTCAGTTGAAGCTAAACACAAGTCATAGTTAACCTGCATTCCTTGCCAAAAAAAAAAAAAAAGTTCAGCATGACTGGTCATCAGACACTAACCAGCGTACATTATTGTGTAACAGCATGCAAATTGGTTTAGGGTAATATGGTTTTAGGCTAAGGACATGCCTTTGAATTCTTCAGGGTGTTCGGAGCCAATGGGCATGAAGTCTGGCCACATTCAGGACTACCAAATCACAGCCTCCAGCATCTTCAGAACTCTTAACATGGACATGTTCACCTGGGAACCTGGGAAAGCAAGACTGGATAAACAAGGGAAGGTCAATGCCTGGACGTCTGGACACAGTGACCAGTCCCAGTGGCTGCAGGTAGGGTTTATTATACATGTCCTCATATGCTTAGGGACAATCTAATTTTATTATGTCTGTTATTGGCTCTGATTCAACAGAATTCTGCAGAATTCGTGTGAATGATTAAATGTAATGCTGAAATGTGTTGTAATCAGTGGCGTGTCCACAAGGGTGGCACGGGGTGGCAACTGCCACCCTTAAAATGAGCTTTGCCACCCCAGTTGCCACCCCAAAGCAGCGTATGGGATCGAAGTGCATTGAGAGCGGAGCAGCGTGATTTTAACTGAAGCGGTGATCTTTTGAAAGTCAGAGAATTCTGGTTTTCGCTCACTCTCAGAGTGCTCCACTACCGCTCAATCACTAGCACAATTAATGCCATAACTATAGATGTTCTAAACTAGTTCTGCCTACAAGGATTGTACTGCACGCACACATGTACAGACACATAACGGATCACTCACACACAGAAACAAAAAATATTGTCAACGCTGCCCTGTGATGACAGGGGCATCTGCTGCTTTCACTGAAGTAAAGTGGACGCCCCTGAACTTGGGAGGGCGCCGGGCGAACTGAATCGCATAGCCGAGCCTGACGGTTCGAAGAAGCCATCGAGACGGGCTGGGTAGCGCTAGCCAGGCTCCCAGACGCCGCGCAAGTGGCACCAACGGAACTACAGGCGTACCCGCAGTGGGGCAGCGAGGAAGAATGCAGGGACCCGGCCCAGGCGTCTCGTAGCCGGTCCGAGGCGGGGTCTGGGTGTGTGTAACGAGAAGAGGGTGCATGGGTAGTCCGTTTGGGTGGTGAGGGAGGAGGATCCAGCAAATCAGTTTCCGGCAGTAAAAAGGTGCCGTCCACGACCTGTTGAGCTCCTCATGCACCTCCGGGAAGAGAGGCACCGAGGCGGGGTGCTGAGAACCAGCGTGGACGACCCCAAGAACCAATCGTGCAACCTTGAGGGCTCGGGACACGGTGGAAGTCTCCACTCGAGCCCTACCCCTACGGCGGCCCGGGAAAGCATAGCCATTATTTCCGGATCCGATTCAGGCATTGCTACGGTCCCGGAGGAGAGCAGCGCAGCCGAATCTTCCTCTTGGGGAAAGTTTTGTAGCATTTTCAAATGCTGGTTAAATGTGCTAAGACAGTGATGCTAAAAGACATGCAGATGAGCCAGAATATTAACGCGACATGTTTAAATGTAAAGCGTTTTCCTCTCTTTAGAAAACTGTAATCTAGAAAGCGCTTCTGGATTAAGACAGCAATTTCTAAAGTTCATATTTTGGGCTCATCCGTTTTTCCACACATATTATGCTTTATTAGTAAGATGTGTGTACAGAATGTGGTCTTTAAATATCACTGTCTCGGTGCATTAAGCGCGTTCTTTATATGAGAGGAAAATGCTTAACGTGTAAATAAACGCGGAGAGGTGTGTGTGTCGCATCTTTGACACTTTTTTCACCATTGACTTCCAGAACATTTTCTGACGGTTACTGTTAGGCAGTGCTGGGAAGGTTACTTTGTAAATGTTATAGGTAGGTTACAGTTTACAGGTTACCCTATTTAAAATGTAATAAGTAGTGTAACTATTTCAATTGCTTTATTAAAGTAATGTAACTGATTACATTGGATTACTTTTTGATTACTTTTCTAAATTTTTAATATTTTCTACTGTTAATCATTTTGAAACATTTAAAGCAGGCAGGGTTAACCTTACAGTAGAACTCAACACTGATTATTGGCAGACTTTCAAAAGCCTGCATCACTTGAATTAAGATTATAATCATTTAATTTTAAAGCACAGCCACTACAAAATCAGACTTAAGCACCTTTTTTACTTTGAGATCAGTCTGATTCTGGTTCAATTCTGATCGTTCTGGTTAAATACAGGTTTAAAATCATAACAAGAAATAGTTTGATAGCTATGATACTGTTTTTAAAATCAAATCTTTTCACAGCTATGACAGGAAACACTGGCATCTAACAATGCCTTGGGGAAAAAATCAGTTAATCTTAAAGCATATGCATAAACCCAAATAGGAAATTAAACAGTTATCGAATAAGCATGCATCTTATTCTGTGTTCTAAACTCCTGAAAAATTGGTGCTTCGTATTTTAGAGCAGTCACTGCAATTAAGAAAATGAATCAAATCTGTATGTGCGTGTTTGTGTGAAAACCCCCTTTGTAATTGTTAACATTTTCATAAGTAACTGTAGGCTAATTTAATTACACTTTTTTTTCTCAGTAACTGTAACAGATTGCACTTATATTTATTTTGTAATTAAATTACGTAATTCCGTTACATGTAATTAGTTACTCCCCAACACTGGTGTTGAATATACAGAATATATGGAGAGTACAAACATTGATCTATAGTTGCCACCCCTCATTCTGCTCTTGCCCCCTCTTTGCCACCCCAAGTATAAAATCCTGGACACGCCCCTGGTTGTAATGAAATGATCACTGCAGCACAGGGGTGTACATTAAACAGCATTCAGAGTTCAGATGATCCCTAACACAGAACCTCAACAAAGATCAAAGATCAAAGATCAAAGCTTTATTGTGATTCCTGCCATTTAGCTCCTAGAATCAAAGTTTCAACGAAATCCCAGTTATCCCTTCTCCCTAGAGCCTCTCTTTTCAGCACGCTCACTCACTGTTCATTAAGGTAACCGATCACCTTACCTCTGGCTTCAGGCGAGAGCTATTTGCCATCATTCAATCCAAGCATCATATTTAACATATTTAACCATATTTCACTTTGAGCCTGGCTGTAAAATTACTGGCTCAAACTTTTTTTCTTGTCATTTAAATTCATTACTATCAATTAATTTGGCTTATTATAAAACTATTTAATATAGTTTTAATATTTTAGAAGGAGTATTTTGTGGTCACCAAGACTGCATTAAAAAAATTTATTGTTTACAGTAATATTGTATTATTATTTTAATTATTATTATTTTATTTATATATAAATTTGGAACATTAAAAATGTATTTTCTGTTACTTTTGATCAGTTGAACACATCCTTGCTGAATAAAAGTATTATTCTCCTTAAAAATTCTTACAGACCCCAGACCATTGAACAAGGCTTTTTTAGCAAAATGTAAATATTAAAATTATTATGAAAAATAAAACAAATTAGTGAAATGTACTGTACAAAAATGTCAAACCATTATTTGACTAAAAAATATTGTACTTAAGTTGTAAAAATGTATAACATTTAAAATGTATGTGGCAAATTGCCCCAACACATTATGAATGTTAAAATGTTAAAATTTACCAGCAGCATTATCTTTTTTTTTTGTCCTGCATTAATATAAATGTTCTTGTTATCTTTGATAGACAGCTGTGTAATAGATAGGGCTGTGCCATTTTTCAGGGGACATGCACTGTTGTTCATGAGATGCAGGGAATGTCATCACATCTGAATAATTTCTAGCTCACGATGTGTTAAAAGTGATTAATATCCTGAGATTACTGAATAAATGCTCCAGTGTAACCACAGAAATTGAGTGAATGTGAGACACAGTTGGGCGCATTTCAAACATCAGTTGCCATGATGAACTGTGAGCTACTGCAGTGGTTGCCCCAATGGAATAATAAAAAAAAATACCAGTGGCATACAATAATGACTTTAGTCAAGTCAAGTCACCTTTATTTATATAGTGATATATGGAATAATCAATACCAGTGGCATCACAGAATGACTTTAGGCTTAATAGATTAATGGAATTAATCAAGCTTAATGACAAATTAAGTATTCTAATTAATCAAGACAATTGCCATGCTGCAGAAGCAAGAATTACCTCACAAACTGCAGTAACGTCAGATACATTTTGACCGAATGGAGCACATCTCAAGGGTCTGCCAGTGATGTGCTCAATCACACTGCATCAAAATCATCAGGTTGTCAGTGTCTCAGTGGTTCAGTTGCTTTTAAGTGCACGATTTGATTGGGAGTCATTTATTTATGTCCATTGATTTTGGTGAAAACAAAGCTTCTGTTACTAAAGCCCTTTATTTGGAACTTTTTTAATGATCTTGGTACTTTCAGTCTGTTAAACGTTTTGGTCTGTGTATGCTGACATGTTCAGTCAAGCAGACATTTAACATGCCGCATACACACGTCAATATTGACTAAGACTCCAAGTGAAAAGTTAATTTGCCTACATTCATTAAGTTGGCTAAGGAACTGCATCAAATTGATGCAAACAAAGTCTTATATTGCCGGGCAGTTTGTTTTAGCGAATTCAAATACAGGCGGGAGTCAAACTGAGTCACAAACAACATTATCTTTTACATTTGTCGCAAAGTTTCCCTCCATTAACCAATCAAAAAACAAACCATGCTGCTTTTCCAGGGACTTCTAAGGTCAAACAAACCACTCACATTAAAATGCATATAAATCCCATTGACAGGTTTTGGAGCTGTTTGAATGAACCAATCACTCACCAGCCCTACAAACACACTGCAAGTCAGCTCTTTTTCCTTTGTTTGGACATACTCCACAGTAAGAAGGCCTTTTGAAGTTTCTGTTGATTGCTTCCAAACATGCTGTCGACCAAGAGACAGTGAGGAGATGCCCATCCTCCTTCTCTTACATCTGTCTAGCCTGCCTGGGTCTGAAAAATTGCCTTTTCAACTCGTTCCTCTCCCTCCTCTTTGTGTGTAAAGAATCGATTTAGTGTCCTCATTCGTGGTTTCCTGTGTCTTCGCCACTACTCAAACAGAGATGTGACCTCAGTCCCACAGAGAGAACTTTTAGCCTTCATCAGGCAGGCATGAGAAAGACCTCTTACATTCATTATGGATGTTAAGTCTGCTCATTACGGACTATATGCATGGACAGTTTGAGAAACCTTAGCAGTGGTTTTCTTCAGTAAAGATGAGGACTAGAATTTATAGCAACTTTTATCTCAGTCAGCATTTCTCTAACCGGGATCTATCTCAAATAGCCAGGGGGTCCGTGGAAAATTTCTGAATTGAGAACAAAAATCTTTCTGCAAAGCCTTGACAAGCA